AGCAGCTGACCTGCTGGAAAGCAGCTCTGCGGAGAAGGATCTGGGGGTCATGGAAGACAACAAGTTAACCATGAGCCAGCAATGTCACCAAGAAGGTCAATAGTATCCTGGGGTGCATCAGGAGGAGTGTGGCCAAGGGAGGTGATCCTGCCCCTCTACTTGACCCTGGTGAGGCTGCAGCTGGAATACTCTGTCCAGTTCTGGGCTCCTCAGTACAAGACAAGGAGCTACTGCAGAGAGTCCATCAGAGGGCCACAAAGATGACTGGGGTCTGGAACATCTCTCTTATGAGGAAAGGCTGGGCGTTTGGACTGGGCAAATACTTTGTGTTGAGCCTTAGCTTAAGGTATTCAAATGACAAAGCTGGGTCTGTTTGGCCTGGAGGAGAAACAACAGAGAGGGGATGTTATCAATGCCACAAATATCTTAAAGGCAGGTGTCATATGAGGATGGGGCCAGAGTCTATTCAGCTGTACCCAGCAACAGGGTAAGGCACACCAGGCACAAACTGAAATATAGGAAGTTCCACCTGAATATGGAGAAGACTTACTTTACTTTGAGAGTGATGGGGACCTGGGACAGGCTGCCCAGGGAGGTTGTAGAGCTTCCTTCACTAGAGATATTCAAAAGCCACCTGAATATGATTCTGTGCAACCTGCTCTAGGTGGCCCTGCCTTGGCAGGGGGGTTGGACTGGATGATGTCCAGAGGTCCCTTCCAACCACAACTATTCTGAAATTCTGTGAAGAGAGACCCCTACTCCAGACAAAGCTGAGCTTAGGGCTTGCTATTTATGGCTATGGGTAGCTTCCCTTGAAATGCCCTCACTCTCCTCAACTGGATGGGCTCTGGTGGTCCTTCCCAGCCGCACCAGGTCCTCACTGCTGCCAGGAGGATAGCTCAGCTACTCACTCACCTGCAACCAAAGCTGGTGAGGTAGCACCAAGCACCAGCCTGTAACCTGCAGCAAGGCAGCGGATGCACTGTGAGACATAGAACTCCCTCCACAGCAGCACAAGGAACCACAGTGACAGGTGGGCAAAATGAGCAAAACCAGGCACTAAAGTAAGTTTTGCTGCTTGTGTATCAGGCCCTGCAGACAGCCACAGCCGCGTGAGATGAGTTCCTCTCAAAATGACCTGGTACCTACTTGCTAGAGCAAGAGGCGTCTGGAGAGACTTTTAAACATTTATTTAGGAACTCCTACTGTAAATGGAAACCTGACAACCTATAAAACTTAATGGAAAGAGCCAAACTATATCCCTATGGTCCTTCCTGCAAAAGACTGAGTGCACAGAGATGTGTGCACAGAGACTAACTACTCATAAAATGAACAGCAGATCCAGAAGACAATGATGGGGGTCAAACCTCTGGCTGAAGTGACACCAGTGGACACAGATGCAGAGGCTAAAGCTCGCCTTCCTGTTGTGAGGCTCAGAGTCCCACAGCACATGACCCATCATGAAGCTATGTCAACACAGGAAGTTGTTTTTATACTGTAAAGATAATTGTTTCAAGAAATTTTGGTTCCTGGAAAATAAAAAGTATGTGATACATTATATGATAAACATATGCTCTGTACACATTTAGGAGTTCCAGTGCATTGCTTCACAGTCTCTTCATTATAAGTAACCTCAGGTATTTTAAGTACAAATTACTCTGGTGTTCCCATGAAAGATCGAAGGCAGGATTTTGACACCAAGCCCCACCCTGAGCTGCTTTGCATCACTGAGATTGCCAGTATTTGGCTTTGTCTTGGCCACAGTTTATGGGCACACAAATCCCCATCCTACTGAGCATTGTCCAGCTCCTGCTGTGATGGCTGGACCCAGGAGCTGCAATTACAGTGGTGCTTGCAGCAGCAGAGCAGAGGCAGTCCAAGGCACCTTGCAGCCAAGGCAAAGGGGGTCTGCTACTTACTTACTGCTGGTTTGAGCCTTAACAGAGGACTACCCCAGCCTGGATCCCAGGAAACTATTACCAAAGGAGACAAAGACCTCAAAAAGGGCAGGAGAGAGAGAAATCCCATACTGGGCTGAAGTGCAAAAGGCTGTAAAATGAAACCCAGCAGATACAATGTATTACTTTAACAAAGGGTGATTTTCATTTTAATTCTTTTTTAAATACAGAAATTCTCACAGAATACCCTGAGGATATTGGCATCCTGAGTACATTTTGGCCCAGGATTAGAAAAATATGATACCTGAACCAAGAAAGCAGCTTTCAGTGAACTGTTCCTCGAGGGCTGACACTATTTAACACACGTGGATTAATATGTATGTAAAACAAAATATAAAGGAACTAGAACAAAGAACTGAAGAGAGAAACTATGTGAGGGAATTGCAAAGCCATGGAGGATGGCAAGCTGTATTTAGCAGACATGAAACAAACCTCCTCTTTCTTGTGGACTCTAGATACTCTGAAAGTACCTGCTAAGGACAGGCACCTAAGTGTGTCCTGGGTTCAGCAGTAGCAGTCATGTTTTTTCCTTTGTGTTAAGTGGTGCAGTGCTGTGTTTTGACTTCTAGTTTGAGAACAGCGTTGGTGAAGCCGATGTTTTCGGTTGTTGCTAAGTGATGTTTACCCTGACCAAGGACTCTGTGAGGCTCATGCTCTGCCAGGGAGGAGGGGAAGCTGTGAGGAAGCAGAGACGGGGCGCCTGACCCGGGCTAGCCGGGGAGGTATTCCATACCACAGCACGTCATGCCCGGGGTGGGGGGTAACTGGGAGTTACCCGGAAGGACAGGAGCTTCCGGGGGGAACTCGTTTTCTTGGCCGGTGGTATCGTATTCTCTTCCCTTGTTATTTTCCCTTATCATTGTTTTAGCTGATAGTAGCGGTGGTGATTTGTTGCTGGACTGTTCTTGTCTCAACCCGTAGGAGTTGCACTCTCTCGATCCTCCTCCCCGTTCCTCCGGGAGCGGGGAAGGGGAGAGCCCCGGTGCAGGGGGGGGGAGACGGACACGGACCTTGATTGTTGTCAGCTCGGCACCACTCACTGGGAGTGAGTGAACAAGTTACCTGACTGGGTTTAAACCACGACAAAGTGTCACCAGGGAGAGCACACAAGAAAAGCTGGAGGTCTCAAGTTTTAGAAAACTAAAGAACTTTTTCTCTTGTTCCTGACTGCTCTTTGCCTGGTTGTTCTGTCATTATTTTGCATTTACAATACCACAGCCTTTTGTCATGGAGAATGCAGTAAAAATGACAAATAAGGTTGCCTGGCAACACACTGAAATGTCACAAAATGGGTTAGGAAGGAGCAAGGTTTAGTTTGAATTAGAACTAGGTTAAGCTCTTAGCAAATACAAAAGCAGCTCTGTCTTCAGGTACCAGTTGTCCCTCTGCTCTAGGAGCATCATCTCACCCAATGCTCTATTAATCTTTATCTCCACTACCCTGCCTTGAGCTGATTCATAAGTTCCCTGATTTGCTATTTCCTCTAACTTGTTTATTTCTCAAGGCCCATCCTTGTTTCACGTACTTCTCATCTTTAACCAGAAGAGGCTCAGGAGAGGATCAAACACCTAGACTGGTACAGATAACCCCTTCACCCCACCCAGCCCAGTAAGAGCCTCATCCCCATCTTGGACATGCATACAAATAAGAGAACAGCAACACAACCGTAGAAAGCTAGCACTGATTTTTCTTTAAAAAGCAGCTGTCTCTTCCCTAAAAGTATCTGTTCTTCCCCCTGAAGGTTTTGTATATGAGAAAGTAAGCATAAAAATGTCAAGAATCTCTGTACATCCACTCTGTACTCCACTGAGTAATCCTCTATCTATATAATCATACCAATATAATATAGACTACTAATGCTATATGAAATCTATCTAGGAAATCAGTTATTAATACTATAAATAAACACCAGTCTCACCTATCAGACCCACAAGTTAACATATTCCTAGAACTGACCCAGTATTTCTGATACCTCATGGCAAAGAATCTCAGTAGGTTACAATCCTACACAATAATTTCTAACTGAAGTGCTGAGTTATAACAAAAGGTTAAATCCCCCAAATCTGAATACCCATCCTTCTGAAACTGATAACTTGGGTAATGAAAGCACAATAACAAAACCCCTTCATATTACACAGCGCTCCAATCCAATGCACAAACACTAACAACCAAAAATAATCTAAAAATACAACCAGAGAACAGTATTAGGAGATAGGAAGTACTTCCTCTCCACGGAGGCTTTTGTTAGCGTTTACACAATGATCCTTTTCTGAGGAGCTGGAAGCAGGACAGATTGCTTTCACACCGAGCACACTTAGAAAAACACCTTTGCATTTTAACGTTCTTGTCTGGTGTCTGCGCTTGCTCAGATTACCAACAATTCTTCAATCTCCCCGCTCCAAACAGAGGTTTATTGAAAATGTGCTGTTACCCTTTCAAAAGGCAGGCAGCATCAGAAAGATAACCCTGGATGTTAAATGGATTTCCGATTTTTGGTCACCCTTCCTGGATAAGGTCAGGCTAAGTGGTCCTGCTGCATTCTTTTGTCTAAAGCCCTTTCCACAACAAAGAACCCCCCATGAAGAAAGCCAGAGCCCAGCAGCTTCCCCAGCCCTTCCACAAAACCAGCCAAGCGGAGGGGCTGCACCAGGACCCCCAAGAAGCTGCACAACCCACAGCACCTGAATGACCCAAAACTGACTTCAAACCAGACCTAGCAAAGTTGTTAGGCTGTGGAAAGTTATTTACTTGCAAGTGCTGGCTGTCAGAACGGGTTCAGAAGCAAACACCAGCTAACATTGCCTTTCCCATAGCCAGGGAAGGGAGTCTCACCATCACCAAAACCTACAAGGTCACCATATGGCCCCTGTTATCTCTCCACTGGGTTTTTTTTTCATAGGGCTTTGCGACTGCTTCTCAATCCACGTGCTTTGCAGTGACTTTCGAGAGCTGTGTCTGCATTCTGTTTGCTAAAGCCACCGAATCAATCACTCCGCTGAGAGGGGCTCAGCGCTCCGGCGGTACTCGTCAATTCTCACTCACCTCAGCTTCTCTTCGTGCGACCCGGGCAGTCCCACGCTATCAGGGCGATCGCGTCTCCTCCTGTACAGACCTGACTGTGACAACTCTTTCAGCTGCAAGGCCATCATATTTCTCTACCTGGAGGGCTGTTTTTCTTAAGGGGGGGGGGGGTGGTGGTGGTGTGTTTTGGCTTTGGGTTGGGTTTCTTCCCCCCCCTCTTCCCCGCCTCTTCCAGATGTTGCCGCTGAGGAGCGTTGCCTGCCAAGATGCCTGGATAGAAGAGGCTGAGCGGCGTGTCGGCACACCTGCACCCGCCGGGGCTACCAACCTCTGCAGGCAGGCAGGCAGGCAGCCGCTGCTCGGCTTCCTGTTTCTCGTAGGTACACACCCTCCCGAAGGGCACCACATTTCCTTTATCACTCGATCACACCTAAGGGATGTCTGCCACAAGCTCACCGGCTTCCCTACAGCTTCCTTCAAACTCACCCTGCCCCGACAGCCGCCACCTGCCGTGTGCTGTGCAAAGGAAGAGGCTCTCCCAGCGCCTGCTGTGAGTCTCCACGGCTGCAATGAGCTGTTAAATCGCTCACAATGTAATTTATGACAAGAAGAAAGTCGTTAGCACTATGAAAATCCAGTTACTCAAGCATCTGAGCAAATTCTTAGAGGGAGATCAATGCAGCAAAGTGTGCAGCAAGGCACTTCAGTACCCGGCATTAAAATACACTTTCGGAAACTTAATAGCACTGCGCTTGTCAGAAATTGCTCTTTTCCACCCATCCAGAAAAGCAGAAAAAAAACCCACAATGTATTTTTCTTCCTACTCTCAGCTATCAAAACATAACCACTGTGAGTATTTGTCACAGTCTGTAGTGATGGAGGGTCCCCTGTAATTGTAAAACAGGACTGAAAGTGTGTAAAGTTTCCTGTAAGTCAGGAAGGTGACTAGCAGGGATTCGCAAGCTCTGTGTCTCATCTCACTTAGTAATTTTTCAGTAATAAAAGTCTTTGTTTCAACCCAAAAGGAGGCTTCAAAAGAGCTTACCACTTTCTGAGAAATGTTTACAATTTCTTCAACATTATCCTCAGCACACACAAACAAAAACTTAAGTCAGAGATTTTACTTCTGTGTTGTGTGGTTTTTAAATGAACTTGTATTTAATAAAAGCCAGGAAATCTATGAATTTGCAAGCACTGCTTGGACTACGATAGGAAATGAGGTCTATACAGTGTGAATTTCAGGGCTCATCATTGAAGTGGTTATTTTGTAGCAGAACACATGTAAGAGCATTTTTGAGTTCTTCTAATGGAGAAAAGCATAACGTGTAACACTGGGTACATCACATGACACCAGTTTTGTCAGGATTACCAGACTGAACACAAGCAGAGTAATTTTATGTAATGCCATCAGTGTGCTTCAGCCTGGAATGTCATCAACATACAACATAAAGCGTCACACAATGGAAAAATTACAGAAAGTGTTTTGGAAAAGGAATCTCATAACATGCCAAATAGATAATGGCTGGAGAAATTCAGGGTGATCTACATGACATTAGAAGGTTGCATGCACTGAAACGTCAACAAGAGCTACACATCTTAGCTCTGGTCCTTAGAAGACAAGAGAGAACAGTCATGATATTTGCCTAAACACGCTGCATTCCAGTTTCAAATGAAGTATTTAAAATTGTTTCTCAATATGCAGTAGGATAAGCTTAAACATAATTAAAAGCCAATTCCATGCATTCAGTCAATCAGCGATCCAATGAAAAGTTAATGCTGTTACGAGTGAGGGTTAAGGATGGCAGATGACAGACGCGCATGGCACAGCAGCTTTTATATATTACCACCAGTTTTTACTGTGCTTTAAATATCACTGAAGCAATTATTTATCTTTGTCCAGACTATCAATTTTATATAATAACAATAATGATATAAAGAGTGAAGACAGAGTGGATTTTTTTGCTGTGAAGATCTTTGTAAACTAATGAAATTGAACTATTACCTACAAATTTTTATTCACTACACAGCAATCTCTTCAATGTACACTGAGCACTTTTGTATTAATCATGACGTAAGTCTACCAAAAATTAAAGGAACAGTCTTCAACCCACTTTGCTGCAAGCTGCATTAGTATGAAGCACATAGCATTAAAACTAACGTCTATGCGCACGAGCAGGTTGTGTGATTGGAGAGCCTACGGAACAACAGCTTTTACTGAAACATACTTGGGAACCAGAGCTGCACCAAACCAGTATTATTAAAAGTTAAAACCAATGCCACCAGACAGAGCCTGTAAACAGAAGGTATACAAGGAGTGCAGACACAAAAATTAGTTATTTGTTATACAGACCAAATCTACCTCAAAATAAAGGAGGGCAAGACAGTTTTCTAAAAGAGGCCTGGAAGTCAGCTCCAGAGTCATCACTGCACAGGCTTCTTCAGCAAACTCCGACAGGGGTCTAAGATGATTCACAAAATACTTTCTTGGAGGACGTGAGAACAAGCTAAAAGCTTTCTACAATAAGAAATCCAAACAAGACTCCCTTTCTGCCCTATGGGATCCTCCACCAATCCTCATGAGACACGAGGTTTCAAATCTGAAATTGCTCAAACGGCCAAACCCTAACTTCTGAGTTGCAAATACTTGTTGTAAGGGTGTTTTCTAGAGCAATGTTTGAGAATGTAAAACGGTATTTCTCCACTAAATCGCTTAAAGGTTGTCAGAAAGCAACCTTAGCAACCTCAACCTCAGTCAGAAAGGAAACTCAGACGGACCTTGCTCTACGGTAAGATGATCTCCCCAGCGAGTGCCTCCTGCTCCCCACACCCCCTTTTACCTTCCAACCCCTATCTGCTGTTTATAATTCCTTTTTGAGAGATTACATTCTTCTTGTGTGGGACGGGGCCACTTGGACCTTTCACATTCCGTCAGAATTTTTGAGGGCCAGCCAAGTTACCACAGCTTTTCCCACTACCGGTAGCATGCAGCCACCTTCTATGTCCTGTACTTTGAAGGTTCACTCTTCACTTTCTAGTGCATGCCTCTTCACTCATACAACTGACCTTCCTCCCGCCCCCAGAGAAAGCTAACACTGCTACTGCAATCTGATGGATAAACTTGGCATTATCAGCATTTTGCTTAGACTCATGCCTAAGCAGCAAAAGGTGGAACCTAGACAAAAACTATGCAGTCCTTCCTTCATCCCAAGCAATAAATAACTTTTTATTATGTGGGACAAGGCTCATGGCTTAAGCTTTCAGTGCAGCCCCACAAAGCATTTATCTTGATATAGCAGGCCTGAAGAGCACTCTCTAAATGTCTGAGAGTACTGTTCTTCTACTGACTGTAGGTATTCAGCAGAATTTTGCAATTTAAAAAGCCTTTAAGACAAACAGGCTATGTCCGGTTACTTTTCACTGTGTTCCAAGAGATGTGAACAATAATCCATGTCATTGAATTTAGGAATAACAAAAAATGCCAAGCACTTCAAATTCAGTACATTTCTTCATGAGTCTGTATTTACAGAGAATGCACATTAACTACAGAAACCAGGAAAGACAAAGCTTTAGCTTTCATTCCACACAGAGAAGCCTTTATCAATGTGATTGATCTTTTTTCCACTCCAGTGGCACATTCTTGTTTTGTTTCTTTTTTTAAGCTTTGAAGAAACCACAGATATCAATCAAATTTAGTTGAAGACTTTCAAAGCAACAGAAAAAGCTGTTTTCAAGGCAGCATAAATGGTCAAAAAAATAATTAGCAGAATATTATAAAAAGACTACAGGAATGTCCGTAGCATGCACGCAGTTAAAAGGTGACTGCAGTGGGGAAGCATGTTTCTCCATCCCCCATTGCTCACCCAGCTTATCGCTGGGATGAGCTTCCAGAGGAACATGTCCAAGAGCTTTGGTTTTCTACTATTTCTCACAAGGTCTGGAAGGAAAACAGTCTTTAAAGCCAAGGAAAGGCTTGTACATCAGTGGGAATGCATAAGACTCCATGAAGCAAACAAAGGAAGGTGGCAATAACCCTTCAGCAGTTTTGCAAGAACCCCCAAAGCACCCAACCAATGGGCCGACCACAAAGGAGGCTTTATTTCAGATTCTCTGAACTAGGCTGCTGAGGCCAGTCCCCACAGATGGCTTTGGGTGTCAGTGAATAGTGTACCGTGCCTTGGGTGCCTGCTAGGGCAGGTGGTGATGGAAAGAAATGAGGGGAAAGAAATCAAGCCACAAATCTAAGGACACACACTTTGAAAATAAAATTTCAAACCTTCACAGCAGCCTAAACTGTCGATCCAAATAATTCACTAATTGCACATTTCCTCCCTTGTCTCATGTGACTCCAACATCTGGTTTAATGTTTCTTGTACTGTTCTGCTTAGTGATCAATGAATTCTGAGGCACGCACCTTTAATCTGCAGATTAGGCTAAGTACTGAAGCACCTGAACTATCCATGCGGACATGCAAAGCAGTGCTTGGGATTTATGTTTGAGTGCCAGCTGACCAAGCACGTTTGCTGCAATTCAACAGGAGCTGCTGGGGGATTTTAAACCTATTCTATGGTTGCATGTCCCTGCCATGCAATGTAAAAAAAACCCTACATAATGGAGTGCTCAGCACCCTTCAGAGCTGTAATGCACTCAACCTACCCAAGTCCTTTAACATTTGAGGGGGCAGAAGGAAGACAGGGGGGGCTGCTGTGGTGAGCACAGGGGTCCTTTCTCACCCTTGTGGTACCAAAGGCATCTCTACCTCCACTTGCAGGTGGCCCACAAAGTTTTGGTATGGCCAGGCAGAGGTCCCTGTTCTCATTCCAACTAATTCTATTCCAGCAATAATAATAAAATATAAAAGCAAGAACAGGAAAAGCTTCTGTCTACTCGAACGCAGAGCAAGGTCTTTTGGCTGTCTCCTCCAAGCTCTCTGCACATGCTGCCCCATGAATTCCTACAATTCAGCTAAAAAAGCCCCGCAAAAGGCACATTTTTATCCAGCAAGTGGAATCCTGCTTCAGCTAACCTTTACAATACCCCCCTCTACTGGGAAAATGTTGCCTTTATTTCTCAGTGCCGGTATTTCTCCCTACAGCCAGAGGGAGGTACAGATTAACCCAAATATGATTAATAACTCAGGCCAAACTGAGAGCAGAGAGGAATGACAGTCCAGCAGCTGAAGATGCAGGTTAGCGTTATAACTACAAACTTATGCTGTTAATCAGCAGATGATCAATGCACGAATAGGTTGCAAAGAACAAACCCTATGACACAGCATGAATCAGTTTTGTCCTGCCATTTGTACATAAGCTTCTTTAAAAAAAGAGTGGCAAACTAGCTGGCAAGCAGCTGAAGTTTTAAGATGGGTACCCTGAAATTCACTGGATAAACACCTTTAAAAAAGAGAAAGGAAGTGCGAGGATGGAACCCGCACCAAAAAGATGGAGTAAGGCTGGTTTTAAAGACAGCAAATTCAGAGTTTAGA